CCCCTTGAATCTACAGACGCAACAGGATCTTTTAATTTGCCCTTTTTCTTCTTTGTCCATCGCTTTGTCGATGATTATCAATAATTAACCCGTTGATCATGAACGAGATGCGCTTAGCCGGCGCGGCGTCGGTTTTTCACCCGTGTGCGGGGATGGCGAATTTCCATCCAGCTGTGCCAGCCGCCGCGACGCCAATCGCCAATCCCGCTCCGGATGACCGGGACCCGCGGGGGCGCCGGCGCCCAAGGACGCGAGGTGTTAATGAATGTACTGTGTCGTCGCTCAATGAGACGCGGGAGCTCCAGATCTCCAGCCCTCCCTCCCCCCCGCCCCCTCTCCCACTCCACGTCACGATCCACGCGAGGGTAGGAGAGCGTCACGCTGACGCGACGCCCAGTACTCGGTCTCGACGTCATCAGGAATCACCGCGACTCCCAGTGCACAGAGTTCTTACGATTGCTGGATCGGAGGCCAGACCGCCGGATAGGGTGAAAATTCAGCAAATGGAGATGTTGCATGTGTGAGGAATTTCCGATTTGACTGTTGATTCTTATGTAAAAGTTCGCGAGAAACACGATGGTGCCACTGCTTTTCTCTAAAATCAACTCCCAAGCTCAAAAAAAGCTCTCAAGTTGAGGCCAAAATGGAGGGGATATCCCACGCTATCCAGAGAGTCCACTTCTACATCAAGACAAACTCTCCATGCAAAGATAGGGAGTAAATACATTATTAGCAGTGATGCCGTGTTTTTAGTTTTGGAGTCCCCAAATTGAGTGGCAGCCCTGTCAATGTATTTGCTCCCTATCTTTGCATGGAGAGTTTGTCTTGATGTAGAGGTGGACTCTCAGGGTAGGGCGGGATATACCCTCCATTTTGGCCTCACTTTGAGAGCTTTTTTTGAGCTTGAGAGATGATTTCAGAGAAAACCAGTGGTGCCATCGTGTTTCTCGCGAACTTTTACATAAGAAACAACGGTCAAATCGCAAATCCCTCACACATGCAACATCTCCATTTCGACGTTTCCCCGACGAAAGAACGTAACTCTATACGTCGAAAAATTCACACTCGCAGCTTTAGTAGCGGATCCAGCGATTTGGCACCATTGGATTTCCTCTATTGAAACCTGTGATGAATAATCGATTCTTGTCGGAGCAACTGCTCCCTTCGGGAGTCGATACATTTTCATAGGTTTAAATAGGGAAAGAACAATGTTGCTAATTTTCTGGATCCGCCAATGCAGATCAAACATTTCATTTTAGGCATCTTGAATTGGAACTTCATAGATTTTTCTTCAGAAAACCCATGAGAATCAGTTTAATTCTAGTGATTGCCCGGTCCCATTCCTGTAAAAAATGGAATTGTTTGAGTCAGTCTCATAACCGCAGAATGGAATTACTTTTTGCGGGGAACGACGATTTGGGTCGTTAACGGAAAAGTGGATGTTATCTACGAAAGAGGGATGTTCAGTGAAGGGACTGATTTCGAATGAGATCGAAGACCCGGATTTTGAAATTTTAACGGAAACCTCTGTTTGGCGCCCTAAAGAATAAGTTCCGAGCGATTCAGTTCATTTTCATGCCAAAAGAGGACGTTAATTTGTAGTTTAATCCGGCAGCTTCGTCCACTTGTGAACCACCATTCCTCCAGTCCGGTTTGAAATTTTCGGGATTTTCCCCCGTGTACATCGGGAGATTTAAAATGGAACTCATCCGTGCCAATCGAATTTTCCCCCGAAACGGTTGAAGCTTGCCTTTTGGTACTACATATTTTAAAGATGGGAACTCGTTCAAAACGTATCGTTCCAGAAATCAGGGCTTTGACCCAAAAATCCCACTCATCTTCCGATTCGCTGCATGCCTCTTTAAGCCGGGGGAGGGGGGGGGGCTAAGACGCTCGTCGATGGGGAGTCCACGACAGGATACCGACTGCGGGGNAGTTTTTTTTTCTTGTCGATGTTTTTAAGAGTCTGGACTCTAGATCCAATGTGTTTTTTTTTCCCAGTGTACAACAACAGTTTTGTAGTTAAAAATGCTAGCTTTCTATAGCTTTCCTATTGTAAAATGTACGTTTGAAATTTGTCGGACTTATTTTTTATCAATTTAATTGTGAAATCAGCAATCCGTTTTTCCGTGGAACGGGGAGGCGTATGCTGCCCCCCCCCCAAAGCTGCCCCTTGAATCTACAGACGCAACAGGATCTTTTAATTTGCCCTTTTTCTTCTTTGTCCATCGCTTTGTCGATGATTATCAATAATTAACCCGTTGATCATGAACGAGATGCGCTTAGCCGGCGCGGCGTCGGTTTTTCACCCGTGTGCGGGGATGGCGAATTTCCATCCAGCTGTGCCAGCCGCCGCGACGCCAATCGCCAATCCCGCTCCGGATGACCGGGACCCGCGGGGGCGCCGGCGCCCAAGGACGCGAGGTGTTAATGAATGTACTGTGTCGTCGCTCAATGAGACGCGGGAGCTCCAGATCTCCAGCCCTCCCCCCCCCCCGCCCCCTCTCCCACTCCACGTCACGATCCACGCGAGGGTAGGAGAGCGTCACGCTGACGCGACGCCCAGCACTCGGTCTCGACGTCATCAGGAATCACCGCGACTCCCAGTGCACAGAGTTCTTACGATTGCTGGATCGGAGGATAGACCGCCGGGTAGGGTGAAAATTCAGCGAATATTGAGGTTTTCCTATTGAAAGAACATAACTGCACATTAACATCAAGGAATTGACACTTGCAGATCAAACATTTCCGGGTAGGGTGAAAATTCAGCGAATTTCGAGGTTTTTCTAATGAAGGAACGTAACTGCACATTAACATCGAGAAATTGACACTTGCAGATCAAACATTTACTTTTGGGCATCTTTAAAGGGTTTGTTGCACGGAAGAGATACAACCAACTGGATATAGTTCTAAAGGGTAAATTTGCTCGAAATTCACGTTGAGCACATCAAAAAAGTCTGAAATCCGCTCCTTAGCACGCAAACTGCGAAGTTTGTAACACATTTTTCCAAATTTCCCGCGTCTGCGGGCAGTTTCTCTGTCGTCGCTCCCTCTGTTGTATGATTTCATTTGTTCTCAAGCGTTTGATTCCTTCTCTTTCTTTATTTTGTAAAAACAAAAGCTTTAAATTAATTGAAATCTTCCGCAAGGACAGTTTATAACAGTTTCCAAGATTGTTTGTTTATTTAGGTAAGGTCTCTTTTTGGGCCAACCTGACTGCCAGCCATCAAGAAAAACTGCGCGCGTACGCGGTAAATTTGAAAAAGCGTGGTACCAACTACGCAGATTGCGCGTTAAGGAGTGGATTTCAGACTTTTTTGATACCTAATGGGATTTTCGAGCGGATTTACCCCTAAAAAGTGTATTCAGCTAGCTGCATCTCTTGATCGATAATGTTAACTCGATTGCCAGGTTTGGAAGGCTACAAGCTTTTTTTTCTCGAAGACGATTACATTGACAAAACATCATTTCATCATCACGCAAATGTAAGCTTCAGCCACGTGGAGGAAACTTTGGTTCACATTTAACTGTATATCTTTCGGTCATAGAAACAGAACTTCGGCTCAAATAACTGGAATTTCCGTTAGAGGTTACGATTTTTACTATGACAAACGATAATCTTGGTTACCAGAACCTTACTCATGTTTCTTTACAGAAAAATTATGATAATTGGGACCAACGATTTTAGTGCATTATTTGAACCGAAATCATGTCCCCCGTATACATCGGGAGGTTTAAAATGGGATTCATCGAACTAATGCCAATCGAATTCGCCCTCGGAACGGTTGAAGCTTGCCTCAGTACTACATATTGTAAAGATGGGAATCCGTTCAAAACGTATTGGTCTGAAAATCAGGGCTTTGACCCAAAAATCCCACTCATCTTCCGATTCGCTGCATGCCTCTTTAATCCGGGGGAGGGGGGGGGGCTAAGACGCTCGTCGATGGGGAGTCCACGACAGGATACCGACTGCGGGGGCCAAAGCTCCCAGTTCAGAGTTCGAGAGAAGAACAAATAGAGGACCGTATTGATTATGTAAAGGATTCCCCGACCCGACACCTAATCAAGACGAGGGAAGAAGGAAGGTGAAGGATTGTAATCTGAAGTGTATTTATGTGTTTATATTTTGATGAATGTCGCCGAGATGTGTCTGCGGGTCCCACGGCTCGCGCCCACTCATTCGCGAGCTCGGAGAAGAGGTGTTCGCCGCGGTCCGGTGCCAACAAGCTGGCAGTAATTAAATGCAAATTATCTCCTCAATTGTGCGCGCAAGCGCCGAGTGGAGACGCGCCACGGAAGGTCCGGGACTTAGTCTTGTTTGTAAAGAGGGTACTCGTAAGTCCTGAACGCGATTCGCGTGAACAGTTCCATTTGATCGTCCAAATAGGATCTTCCATTGGACTTGGATGAAATTAGGCTGACCCTAAGAATATAGTATTGAAATAGGGCACCAGATAATATTGGTACATAATCTTCATTTGCAACAGCTGTTCTGTAACAGCTTGTCTGGTATGGTCATGTTCAATGAGTGGTGGATGACAGATTACCTAAGAAGGTTTTAGATTGGGTACCTCCTGGGAGGTAATGTAGAGGACATCCAGCAAAATCATGGATAGGTGGCATTCAAGATAAAATTACAAGATGTCATTTACCAGATGACCCCCGCGTCAATAGACATAAATGGCGGTTTGGTGTCGCAGAGCGCCCGGAAGCGCTGTAAAAGGGACTTGTATATATGTATCTTCATTTACAGCGCGATTACATAGTTACCTCAGGAAAACTTTTTTAATGAAATTTGCGATAAATTAGAAAAATATAGATGACGAAACCAGAAAAATACGAATGTGACCTCGTAAAAAGTTTTCAAACATTGACTTTCATCGAAGTTATAACGTGCAATGTAGTTTTTCAGATTCACTATTTTTGTCAACTACCTCTCTCCGTTTATATCTCTCCTTTTCGTACTCACCGGCTAAATTTACTTTCTTTTTTGTTTTCAGTTTGAGTAAAATGGCCACTGACGTCTCTGGGGACCTCAATCTCATTCAAGATGAAGATGTACTTCGGAAAATGGTAAGTCAGTGAGACACCGTATCTGCATTAGTGGGGCACAAACTGTGTTTGTTTCTTTAAAATAGAGAGGTTTGTGCATTTTGTCAGAATGGCAGTTTTAGGATGATAAGATGGAAGAGTATTAACATTTGCCTTAAAAAGTGCCAGTTTTGGGTTGGAAAATATGAGAATTTTTTTTTTTTTTTTAAATTGTAGGAAGCTTTTAATGTTCACTTATGTATGGTTGTTTTGGTTTTTTTCAGTGGTCTCAAGCCGATGACTATGACAGGAAGAAGGAAATTCGTCTTAGAATGTACAAATTGCGAGAACAGAGATTAAAGTCCTACTACACCGGGGATGCCATTACAGCGATAACGGACACGCCACCAGCTAGAAAACATGCAGCAGTCACTCACGCAGAGTCCATCACAGATCAGGGATTTATGACCATGAAAGATAAAGAAATAAGGGACTCGGAGTCACCAACTAGGGATCTTCAACAAAGGCAAGGAAATGAAAAATACTGGACGACTGTCCAGGACACAACTACTTCATCAACCGGTGATGATAAAAATTTCACGAAAACTTACAGTAGAACATCGGACGCAAAAGCAGCTGTCGACGACAATACTCAAGTTCAGGTTTCCGCAAAAGAGCAATCATTACATTCAGCAGCAACTGAAGTCACAGATAATGCAACTACAAAAAAGGAACAATTGAAATTACAGGCTGCATTATCTTCAGCATCTGAAACCGTGGGCCCTAACGGTGAACGCATATCCTCAAAATCAGAGCAAGAGGAGTCAAACTTCACGTCTCATTCTACTACCGAGTCAAAATCTGCAACTGGGTACTCAAAAAGCTGGCAATCCTCTAGTTCATCCAGTTCATCAAGTAGGAGAGTATACAGTTCCAGTTCAACCACTCAAGACAATGCAATTCAAAACAGAAGAACGTCTACTGATCGAAAAGCGATAACATCTGTGGACGATGTTCTGGATAATGTCTCATCGACTAGAAAATCCTACAATGTAGATGAAACAGATTTTAAAAATACTGAAATCCGAAATTCAGATTATAAAACTAAAAGAGATTTCAGCACTGTCGAAAAATCTTCCACTGATGAAGTAAAGCAAGTCAGTACCACCAAGGATTCTGTGAGGAAATCTAGCGACTACGATAACTCTAACCTCACGTACTTTAGGTCAAACAGAGACGTACCCTATACAGACAATACTGATGATGCAGATTACGAGATAAATGTCAAAATTACAACTAACTCTTCTGTAAAGAATCAACGTAATGTTCCTGAAAAGACCAGCACTAAAGTTACCGAAAGAGTCTTCGACGATAACGTAAGGAATGAATCGAACAAAGAAGACTCCTACTTTACGAAGGAGTATTCTACTAGAACAAGCTCAAAAACTGTAAGTCAGAGCAATGATGTGAATACTTACGAAACAAACAAAGCGACCAGTCCTACGGAAAACGTTTCGAGGAAAGGTATCATCAAGCATCCATCATCCCTGGACCTTCCTAAGGAAAGCGCTGATAGCCAGTACATGACCACCTATCAACAATCGTATCAGAGAATTAATGTTGAAAATAGTCCAACTCATAATGCTTTTGCATCCTCTTTGCGAGCTAGTCCTGATAGGTCTCCTGTTAGCTCTCCTACTAGATCTAAAAGTGTCACCGACCGAAGTAGCCCTGAAAGGAAACTCAGGTCCTCCCCAACTCGTGGCAGCCCGGAAAGGAAGTTTAAAACGACACCGACAAGGACACCCACCAGTCCTGAGCGCAAGTTCCGGACTTCACCCACTACCAACAGTCCTGATAAAGATCGAAGAATTAGTGTCGGTAGTTACACCGTAGAAACCCCCAGATCACCTGTTCGTAAAGTCTCTGATATCACACCAAGTCGCACTAGCGTCACATCTACCTCAACTGTGACTACTTCGAAGCAAAAGAGAAAGTTCTCCTCGACGAAAAGTAAAGAATCGTCAAAAAAGAAAGCATCGACACCAAGTGTTTCCCCATCTGCTAGTCCAACTCGTCAACTTACTGATGCACCTGATTCCGCAGTCGAATCAGACAATGACTCCGATGCATCGCAGGCAACTTACAGTAAGTCTCCAGTCAACTTCAAGCAGGCTTTTGAAACAACAACAACGACTACAACAGCAGCTTCAACAAGGTCAACGTCCGAGCAGACTCGTAAATCTTCTCTTAAAAAGACTTCTGTCAGCGGCGAATCTCCACGCCCAATTGATAAAACTCCTCAGAGTCCAGAACGTACTAGCCCATCCAGAACCCCTGTGGTGGAGGAACTTATTAAGCCGAAGACCGCATACAGTGAATGCGGTTTAGATTGTGAAACTAAAATCGATGAAAATATTATTAGCAAGAATGTAGTAACAGAAACATCTCCCGCAGTGAACGAGCCTACTGTCAAGCCTGAAAAAACATTTACTGCAGGAGAAACTTGTGAGATTGAATTTACAATCAGAAAGAACTCAGCCTCAAAAGGTCCTGAGCCAATCACACAGAGTCCTATTTTTAATAATGTACGGGACAAGTCACCAGAATACAGCTCGGAGGGGTCAGTTGGCAAAGAAGTTAAGAGAATGCGATCACCCGTTAAAGAATCACCAAGCTCCAATCGCTCCAGCCCTGAGCGAAGTGCGTTTGCACCGATCAAACAATTTAGAACGAGCCCAGAAATTAAGAAAACCACGGAACCCTCATATCCAGCAGAAATATTGCGGAAAACTTCTAATACAGCCCCGATTACAGACGCTCCCGTGGGTCGAAAACCTTCACTGAAAAGATCCTCACCCACTAAAGTTTCCTCTCCAACCAGGAGTGTATCGTCAAGTGCCTCTCCTGCGTCTAGTCCCGAGAGGAGAAGTCCTCAGAATAAGATCAGAAAGCCTTCCGCTTCAGCTCCCGTTGCCGAGGAAACTGAAGTAGTTGAATCAACTCAAGAAACACGGATCACAAGGAAAACTTCAGTTCCGCGCTCAAACTCAAAACAGAGCCTTACCAAGAAACAACCCGAGTTAAAGACCCCCGTCAAAGATAGAGTGACGCAAGGAACACGTATTCCTTCCTCAACAGATCTCAGAAGTTCTTCCGTTACTCGTAAAACCAACCGAGCATCTGAAACAATCACTATTACTAAAAAAGCGCCGTCAAAACCAACAGAGGTCACAAGAACTCCTCAAAGAGGTCCTTCCAATTCAAATCTCAAAACTGTGAAAACAACGCTCACCACAACGGTTAACGCGTCTCCAAGATACAGCTCCCCTGTCCGAAAACCAGGGACTCCAACTCAAATAGCTCGATTGAAACCAAGCCCCGTGCGAGGAACAGGACCATCCAACACCACCACTAACAGAGTGACATCAAGAAGCGAAGTGACAGTAACCGTGTCACCCTCCAGGAAGCCAGCTCCAAAGAAAGAAACTCCGAGCATGAAACCCAGAAGTCATGAGGCACCTAAACGCCCCGAATCTCCCCTACGGAAACCAACCACTTTCTCAAAGGATGCTAAGACCAGTTCTCTTCGAGCTTTGCAATTGATTTGCTCTCAAGAAATAAATAAAACTGAGAATGTTGACAACTTTGAATATGAAGTTGACATCGATGAAAATAACCTTGAAGACGAGCTCCCACCAGATGATTTTGCGAGTGACGTGACTGACCGTGAAAATGTCAGGACAACTACCAGGAGTGTGGTCACTAAAACTGTAACTACAAAGGTGACGCCGGCAAAGAAACCATCTGTTCAAGCTCTTAAATCTGATAATAAATACAACAGATCGTCAAATGAAAAATTGATTTCAAGATTAGCAACTCCCAAGAAACAGCCGACAAAACCAGAAATTGTAACTCCTAAAACCAGTCGAGTGCCAACGAAAATTAGTCCTGGGAAAACTCCAGTAGCAAAAAAAGCGCCGCTAACGAAGAAAGGTTCAACTGGCAGCACAACCGGTAGTAAGAAAACAATTACCAAGAAGTCGTCAAAGGATAGTATCAAGCGAGTGGACGATGACTCTTCTTCTTGTTCTGAGGATGAGTTGCACGATGTATCAATTACAGTTGATAGTTCAGAAAGAGACCAGAAGTACGTAGAAGAACTGGAAGAAATCAGACGCCGAGATGAATCTGAACATGGTTCAAAAGTTTTTGCCACAAGCAACAAAGATTCATCTTTGTTATCCGTCATTGTCCAACTGCCCTCGTCGTCAAGAGAGTCTTCTCCTGACTATGCTAGCCGCTCACAGTACTCAGCTGCTGTTAGTGATGACGGCAGTGAGAAACCTGTGAGGTACGCTGATAGGGTTAGCGAGCCAGAAGACTCCGATGTCAACATGAAGGTGAAATCTGCTGACTTTCTTCGCGCTGAAGGTCGCATATATGAACAAGTTACTGACCTGGACGAGGAGTCTGAGTCTGAAACCACGAAAGTCGACGTGTCTGTGGCTGATCGTGTATCAAAATTCTTGCAGTCCACAAAGACTTCTAACACTACAACAACTTCCACCACTGAAGTTCAGAGCAAGAAAGATAAATCTGTTTTGAAAGCAGCCGCTCTCTTCGATAAAATTGTTGAAGACCAGTATGTCCCCGTAGGTCCTAGTAATAAAGTAATTGATATATACAGTAAACAATTCCCAGGCCACGAAGCCGTCACTGTCGAGGATAGATCAGATCAATATCAAGAAATTCTAGAATCTGTACTGGATATTGATGGTAGGAGACGATCATCAGTGAATGTCGATGAAACAGACGACATTGCCCCAACACGGACTTTCGATAGGCGACAGTCGTCGGTTGCGTCCATTAACAAAGAAGACTACAAAGCGTCAATCAAGGCTTTCGAAAAGAGACGCTCCTCCGTGAATGTTAACGACGTAGCAGCTGCCACTAAGCTGTCCGAGAAAAGGCGATCATCAGTGAAACCTGAGGACGTTACGCCAGTTTCGAAAACCTACGAGAGTAGGAAGTCATCCGTAAAACCTGAAGATGTCGCACCGGTATCGAAAACTTATGATAGTAGAAGGTCTTCGGCGAATGTAGAGAATGTTGTCTCCTCCACCAGCGTCTATGACAGGAGACGATCATCGAACACGGAAGATGTAATACTAGAGAGCAAGACTCTGGAACGACGAAAATCCTCTATCCCAGCTGAAACTAAGAGCGATGATGTAGTCACGGAAGAAATTATCAACGTTGAAGTCAAAGAAAATAAAAAAGCTCCATTCGAAAGGAAAGAATCAGCGTTTGCTGCAGATTACAAATCTCGCAAGGACTTCTTCGAAAAGAAAGCAACCACGCCTATCAATAGCGTTCCCAGCAGTCCAAGAGCTGCCCCGAAATTCGGGACCAACTTGAAAACTACCACAAATCAGACCGTGGAAACCAGAGAAGTTACGTCATTCACAAGGAGGGACTCTGAGACGCGAAAGTCTCCTGAAAAAGATCTGTCAACTCCCAGAAAGCCTTCTCTAAAAGATTCGCCAGTCGAAAACCAGAGACTGCCGTCTAGCAGGAAATCTCCTGAGAAAGAGGTGCCCAGTAAAGTTGCCTCTCCCAAAGAAGACGCGCCCTCACCTCGTAAAGATTCTCTCCCTCAAAAGGACTCCTTCACAACTCGTCGGGACTCGTTTTCACCAAAGGAGCCCGCTTCACCACAAAAAGGACCACTTTCAAGAAAACCGTCCGAAAAGGAAGTCACTCCGACTGTTACCGATACTACACCTACTAAAGCCCCTGCCGACAAGCCTCACGAATCAACTCTTTTCAAACCTACTTTATCGTCCTCTAGAAGAAGCTCAACACCTAGAAAGTCTCCAGAACGACAAGCACCAATCGAAAGACAGCCGTCGTCTAATGAGTTGCCGCAGAATGTTCGTAAAGCTCCCGAAAAACCTACCGTTCGAGGGGCAAAGTCCATTATGGATAGACTAAGTATATTTGAGAGGGGAGCAACAGAGAAGACATCTCCTGTCAAGAAAACCGATTTTAGAGGATTTGGCAGAACCACAAAAACAGAATCATCGTCTACTTTCATTCAGAACGAACGAAAGGTCGCTGAAGTAGAGAAGAAACCTGATGAACCCGAGCCAAGTAGTTTTGAAAGGAAAACATCTCGCACTGAAATTGTGCTGAAACCTGCAACCCCGGCAGACCAAAAACCTCAAACGAGAAGAGACTCGTCCGCTCGTAAGTCTCCCGAGAGGAGACCGTCCGCCTCTCAACCCTCGCCAGTTGAACAACAACCGAGAGGTCGCCCCGAGTCCCCGAAAAAATCCCCGTCTGTGTCTGAATTTGAAAGGAAGAGTTCATTTACCTCCTCCACCGCTCAAAAGACTGTGCAAGCAGAAACCTCCAACAAATTCAGCACGACTCTGCGTCGAACACCCTCTCAATCAGGTCCTACTCCTTCTACTCCCAGCACTGCTGCTACTCCCAAGCGCAACTCTATCGTTAAGGAGTCTGGAACCGAGATTGAAGAAATATTTGATGTTCAGCTCCTAGAACAAATGGTAAGATATAACACTACTCATATTCTTTATTTAAAATATCGAATAATCAAATAAATTAATGCTAACAGCTCCTGAATAGTTTTGACTATTGTTGAAGTACTCAAGCAATATGTTCTTAAGGTAAATCAGCACGGAAAAATAGAGGTGTTTAGCCAGTTCAGGTAGTTTGCGGCAGGCTCAAAAAGTGTTGTTCTCTTGAAATAGTGAATTCTTTAAACACCAAGTCTCAACAAAGCCACGGTACACGAGCTGACCATTCCTTTGTTCTTTTCATTTTGAGTTTTTCGTATTGGAGGAGCTGTCACAGCCCGTCGTGCGGACTTTGCCCTCTAAATCTCTATAATGATCAGTGGCGTGGAATAATTTGCGATTTATCGATTTATTTTCCATTTGAACCTATGTAACAGTGGCGTGGCGTGAATTACGATGTCGATTGTTATGCCATTTAAACCTATGGAAAAAGATCGATGAACAGGGTGTTCGCAGCGAACACCTTAATAATCGATTATTTACCACAGGTTTAAACGGCATAACAATCGATTTATCGCAATTCACGCCACTGCTATGGAAAATGATCTATACACAGAGTGTTCGCAACGAACACCTTAATAATAATTCTTTAACATACTTTCAAATGGGGATACATCGATAATCGATCATTCACGCCCGGCCAATGAGCTAATGATGCCACACACTTTGCGGGTCGATTTATGAATCTTTATCGAATAACATCGATCGGAAACTTGCGCTTTTGAGGTAGAAAAGTATCGACCAAATTCATTCAATGACGATCCAACAATCCACGCACTGGTCAAAATCGAAGGACCTAACTATAGAGGAAATATTTTTGGCTACCGCCGGAAAGGAAAAACCAGTACCCTGTATCATACACTCAATTTGAAGTAAGAAGCTAAGAATGGTAAAGCTTGTTCTTGCTCTCTCGTTCAAAAAAAAAGCTTCACCATCCTTAGCCGTCGAAATTTTTAGAAATCAAACCGGCAGCCGCAAGTAATCGGATCTTCTGTAATCTTTTCATATACAGCATTAGAAGGGGTTTTTTCCAGAATAAAATGGCTCGAACATGACGAATAAAATGGCACGGCTTACACCTAAAGTTGAGGTTGTGACTACGCTTGGTTTAAGATGGATCCGCTCTGAGAAAAAAACTCCGGCCGTGGAAGCCGTACCTACTTACGGGCTATGCTATACATATAGACGTACCGTCTGTTCCGGACGCAGAGGCTGAAAATTCCGGGTGGAGCACCCGGAGCAGCTGAAGCTGCAGCTTTAACAGTCCAGCAACTGGAACTTTTTGCCTCTGCGTCCGGAACGGACGGTATTTCTATAGAGTCCGTAACTTTTTTTCAGTGTCATTTCCACCTCAGAGAAAGATTCGATAGTGGACGAATCAATCGAATATTTCTGAATTTTATACAATTTGCTCAAAGATCACTGAGCATTACATCACGCTGTTGTCCATCAGGTGTATTTGTACTTAATGTTTGACTTGATACGTACTTCTGAAACTGTCAAGATATTTATTCATCACATTTTGTGCACAAATACTAGAAGTATGCGACAGGAAAAAAAAAAATCCCTGAAAAAATCACCTGAAAGAAAAACAAATTCTTCCAGAGAATCGGATCGCATTTAATGAAAGGGAACCAAAACGATTAAAGTGTATCCAGAGCGATACAACTTTTATTCTTTAAAAAATACTAAGTACATAAGTACAGTAATAAATTTCACACGATATTTTTACTTTAAAATCAACAACTTTTTGGAGGCAAAACAACAATTATTTAACGATTCTTGGATTTTTTGTTAAATATGACGATGTATGATTCTCATACCGCTGTTTATTTGCGTTGGTTCCCGTCTGCTAAATGCAATATAATTAGGATTCTACTTTTGACCATTTCCTCCCTGTCTTTACATGTCTTTTTCACTTTTTGAGTGTCATAAAAGTTAATATGCGGTGTTAAAATTTTATAATTTTTGAATGATTAGATGGAGTCGTCAAAGAATTACGATGACCGACGCCGGATTCGGGCGCAAATCAGAATCGCCAAACGAAAACCCGATACGACTTCCAAGTCCAGCTCCACCTACGAAACAACCACTGTAACCACAACCAAAACAACCAAGCCTACGTCACGGAGCTCTATCACGGAAAAGGTAAAATGAACCATTCAATTAGTATTAGTCATCACAATTAATCCTCAGTATTTGAATGCTCTTATATATTTTCGCATTTCATTATCAGCAGATTTTGCATTTTTTTATTTATTCTCTTGGACTTTTTTCTTTCTTTCTCTTTAAACTATGTAGAAACTTTTGACTTTGATTTTGAACACTATTTTTCACGAATGGCTCAAATGTTGGATTGAGCCTTTGCAAAAAACAGTCCGAAAGTGCAGTCTATTAACTGGATGAAAACATCGACTGAAAAAAGGAGATTAACTCTGCGCTCTTTAAACACCAGAATTTTTATTTGCTCTCTTGAAAGCTCCTCAATTATAGCGATCGCGGTATAGTTGATGAATATGCAGTTAAAGTTTTGTCTAACCTATATCTCTAACACTAATGCAACTAACGATACATATCGCGAAGATTTGTCAGTATGCCTCACGCTGTGCTGTGAGTAAGAATTCGAACAATTGCGTTACGATCCAGCGTTAGCCTTCAAAAGCGAGGAACGCAACAAAGCTTACACTGCTGCAACTTGCAGTGCTGTCTCGAATACAAATACGTTAAGCGATCTTATAATGCCGCTGCGATCTTATCGTGTAACTTTGTCGCCTTCCATGAGCGTTGACCGTTAATAGCTCCAGGTTTAATCTGCGTCTTTCGGCCTCGATAGACGAACAAATTCTGGAACCAATTCCCATCCAAGTGAGTGTTGGGAGTCGCCAGTTCTAAAGTCGTCTCTTCGCATTATTTTCAAATGAAAACTTGGCAGAAATATTACGTTTTGCTTCATCGAAATTAGACAGGCTGTCCGTTGAACTATTTTGATCGGAATTTATCCAGAATTCAATGGTCTGTCGAGGCCTTTTACAGTGATCCATCCATATTTTGCGGCGAAGGGCCCTCACCAAGTGGAACGCTCTGCACAAGAAACATACATATTTATCATTCTCCCCTGAATACGAATAATTTTGCATACCTATAGAAAGTCCTTACTTTAAAAATCCTCCAAAAAATTTGCAGTATTGAGTCTCGTGTAGAGGCTAAAGAATTAATATGGAAATTTGGATTTTTGGAGTGATTTAATGGATGAGCATGGATGAAACATAGTCGTTTCTTGTTGCTAAATAAAATTCATTGCTCTTGGGCTGATAATTGGGAGAAATTAATGTGCTGGAAAATAGTTGGGAAAACTGTCGGACTGTCTAACTTTTTGGACTCTCGACAGTTTTCCCAACTATTCTCCGGAACATAAATTTCTTCCAATTATCAGCCCAAGAGCAATGGATTTGATTTAGCAAAAAGAAACGACTATTTTTCACGTATCCATAAAATCAGTTGCCTGTTTAAAGAGATTAAGCACCTGGATAACGTTTCTAAAATAATAGTTCCCTATTTCATAATGCAGTACAATGCATTTTTACTGAAAAAACACTTAAAAGCGAGGTAATATTTGCCTATTATCGAAATTGATCATTAAGTTTCCCAAATAGTATCCACCAGGCAGATTTCACGAGTTTTTTCGCTGATAATTAAATTGGCAATAGAGTATACCCTCTATTTACAGTGCCCAGTGCTACGATCCAATTATGCTCTTTCCATCATGAAACTCGGATGTGTGAAATCGAAATCGAAATTGAAATAGTATAATGTAATTTAACTGCGGCTAACAGGGTAACAGGTTAAATCAGTAAATCTGTAATAGGAGACCCTAGTAAATATAATGATGGGATTCATAGCGGGGCGAGGCCACTCCCTTACTGCTCTTGTTTCTGCTTCTTTTCTTGACCTCGATGTTTTCAATACCATGTAATATCTTAATTTTAATCCTTGGTTAAAATCACCTACACGTCGCATGTCGAAGAGAAGAAATGGAAGCGTTAGAATGAGCTTTAAGGGAAGCCAAAATAGTGAGAACATGTTAAAAGAATCTGCGGCCACTCGTGAGATTAAGACTGGTAGGTATTAGTGTCGAGATTTCTTCGAGCATGTAAACTTGGGTTCTTTGCTTATGTTACACGTCTCCTCCTGAACATCCTTTACGTTGAATCAGGTGGTGCAAAAAAAAGGCACTCTCAATGTTAAAAAAGCGCACTTTTTGATCGATCATTGTCAGTGAAAATTATTCATCGTTTCTTGATCCGTCGCGAAAGACGCATTAAGAGAACTAAAAAGCACTTCTCAGCGATAGCAAGGTGATTGAAATTATCGAGGGTGATGGTAAAGGTTTACAGAAGTTTACAGCAAAAAAAAAAATGCCTTTTTCCAAACTTCACAATTCAGTTGGGCTCATCTATCAGTTTTTGAGGCATTGAAGAGAGTGTACCGTAACAATTTCAAAATTCAGTTGTTTTGAGCAGCATTTCCCGAGAATTTCCAAAAAAGAAAGACATCCATGCCCAAGTTCCAAAGGGTAAAAAAGTCGTGTTCCTAAGACGAAAATATTTGCGTTCATTCGCAGAAGTTTTTTAGCTTTTTCTGAAACATTATAAAAAGTACAGACTTGAAAATTTGCTGGGTTTTTTTTTTCGTAAAAAATAGCCAACGTAAATTTTGAAAAGAGTCCAGGGGAAAATGAAAAATATGTATGATCTTTGAGTAATACCTTTTATTTGCAACTGAAAATTTTTCTTGAAAAACATTTCGTTGAATTTTGACAATTTGTTTTTGCGCCCTTCAATCCCGCCACTAAATGTTTCCACCAATTCCCATTCGTTTAAACCCTTCAACTCGAAGTTAATTGGATTACGTTTTGCAAAAAGGAACTACTATTTCTAGCCCATTTTAGAAACAGCATACATGCCATTGGTTTCCTTATACAGATATGTGCTTTTATGGGAGAGCCAGAGATAGTAGTTCCTTTTTGCAAAAATGTAATCCAAATGTTATGGGCCATCATAAGGCAAATCTGAGCGTTGACTTCGGAGAGTAACTTTTGAAGTATCGAGAAGATACGAGTGCGGGGCATCTAATATATATTGTATTCGTGTCAAATCTTGTATTAGACTCCTATCTTTTCTTGATAGACTATTCCTTGCACACCTGAAATGCACTCCTATTTTTGCGGAATTGCGCGCTCTAATGACGTCACAATTGAATTCCAGGTCGAATTCGTGACAGCAACACCCAAGGAGAGCCCGAAGAACGAAGCCAAGTCCCAATTCACTTCGGAATACAAAACCGAATTCACCTCAAAATCCTCGACGACGACCAGCGGAACCAGACCCGTGGAGAGCGAGCCTTCGAGACCGAAAGAGGCGGCTCCGACCGTCGAGTCGAAGAAGGAGATCGTCCTCGAAAGGAGACCGTCCGGCACAGATCGGAGCCTCCAGAAAACCGACTCCTTCCACAGACGGGGCTCCAAGACTGCTGATGGTGTCTACGAGTTCACTGTTACAAGTAAGTCCTGTTTAATAATATTTTTACTGTAGCTGAAAGTGATTTGATGGAGGATGTTGTCTGGCCTACCTTGGAAATTGAAGGCGAAATACTGCCGTACAACGCAAAAACGCCGTAAACGCCATTCAAAATTTTGTGGAAACAATGTATCACAGCAAAATAACTTGTTTTCCTTGGGAAATTCTTTTTACAGAATTCTTTCGCAAAGACTGTCAAGAACGTAACCTGAAAATTTTAGGTGCATGGGTAAAATATTTTTTATTGCATTGAGTGTTAAGTTCCAAAAAACGTGGGAAAATCTTGATGAATTTACGGCGTTCTTGCTTAGTAAGGCAGAATAGCAATGAGCTTAAATTGTACCTTTCGTATCAGAAAACGCCACAGTTTAAGAACTGCTGCGAATTGCATACATTGAATCAGTTTGCGTGTCATAGAGTCGTGTTGTGATCGTTGAGTCCTATTATTGAAGTTATTTATAGAGGTATCTCCCACATAAAAACATGTTGAATGACATCTACGGTTACCACGATGCACACCCAAATTTTCTTTATCTCATCGTTAGTCTCATTGACGAACGATGAATATTTTAACCACGTTTAGGGGATGGAAGAAACCATAAGAAAATGAATATGTGTTAACATCGAAAAAGCACTCGGGCACAACGGGCTACGCTCTATAGACATACTGTCCGCGTCCAGGCTCAGAGGCTGAAAGTTCCGGGCGTAGCATCCGGAGGAATCGAAGTTACAGTTCCAGCACCCGGAACTTTCGGCCTCTGAACCCGGAACGAACGGTATGTCTACATAGCTCGTACCTTTTTTTACTGAACGTACATAAAATGTGAGATTTTAGAAATTCAGTCTCAAAGGAAGGAATACATCCTTTTCGAATCAGTCCACCCCGGTAAAATTTTTGTCAGTGTTTTCTCAATCTTTGAAACGTGTTGCATTATGCGCAGCAATATGTGTAAAAAACCCCTTTTCTCGCCTTGAATACATGGTCTCTATGTTCGTCGGTAATTATCCCGAAAAAACGTGTTCCTGGCAAGGGTTAACATTCGGAGTGAGCCACGAAAAACTTTCTTTCTACGGATGATTTATGAATCACCTTTACCGTTCGAATTCGTAAACGCGCAATTACGATTTGTTTACTCAAAACGGGCGCCCGTTAAACCGCGAATGACGTGAAAGCCCCGAAACGCGGATACGCCGGAAAGTTGTCGAAGATGTTGAGCGAAATAAATAAAATGTTCGGGACGGTTCGATGCCGGACGAAGTAGTTTTATGAGGCCCTATTTTTACTCACTCAATAACTCCGAGTTTGCGGTAATTTTCGTTTCGCGTCAGAGGGGAAGATTTTTTCCACGCTGAGGAAAATTCTCTAGATGCAAAATATATCCCTACCAAGAATTCTCGAAAATATATAATGATAGGGTTACCACAGGGAGCACCGGGGAAACCGGCAAATCTCACACTGGGAAAAAAAAACACATTGGATCTCGAGTCCAGACTCTTGAAAACATTGACAAGAAAAAATACTCTGGATTCAATCGGATTTTTGCTTGAATCAAAACGAAATCCGCTTAAATTAAGGAGCTTAGTTGTTGATTTATGCTAGATTCTGATTGAATCAAGAGTACTTTTTCTTGTCGATGTTTTTCAGAGTCGGGACTCAAGATCCAATGTATTTTTTTCCAGTGCAGGGGATTTTAAAAAAGTCAGGGAAAACTTAAAAATGCCAGGGAAAATGACGAAAATGTCAGGGAAAAACTATCAAGTCATCTTTTTTTGCTTTTTAGAATGGGTTTGTCGTTTCGAATGACAAATTTTGCCTGGAGACTATTTCTAATTTTGTCTTTTTACCACAGTCATATCTTCAATTGTCAGGGAATTTCACCATTCGCATTTTCGCAAAATGCAATCCATAAGTTCTCTCTAAAATGAGCCAAAAACAGTGATCCTTTTTTGCGAAATATGGTTCAAGTGTGCGAAACCGAAATCGCCGCTGACTTGCCGCGAGCTAGTCCTGCATGCGCGACTCGCGCTTATTATTCGCGGTGCAATGAACCCGCGCGCGCGACGCGCAGCCAGTGCCCCCCACCGGGGCGGGGGCGGGGGGGGGGGCAATTGGCGCGACTGCGGCTCGGTGCGAATCGGCCACCGGTTTTCGCCACCGTCGCTGTCCAAGTGTCCACTCAGATTGACGGACGCCCCCGCGCGGGACCGCGGTTCCGGTTCGTCGCTCGGCGAATTTGGCGACTTTTGAACTCCCGGGCCCCGCGACCGGCGATCAGAGGCCGTCCTCACCTCGTGACACATTTCACTCTCGTTCTTTGCATCTTTGTGACTCCGTTTTCGGTGCCCGATGCGATACGGATGCGCCGCTGTTGACGTCGCCGTGTCTGATTTATGGTTCGCTTCGCCATCCGATGCCCTGTTTAGTCTACACCGAAAAAAAATCTCAGTGTATTGACTATGAAAAGGGTAAAATTACCAAGAATGCAGGGTTCTATTTGATCCCAGTTTTTTCTTGGTAAAATTACCATTTATGGAATTGGTAATTTTACCGAGAATTCTCGGTAAAATTATTGACTTTCTCGGTAATTTTACTGGACCCCGGTAAAAACGCCAATATTTTTTATCGACTGTGGCACAATTACTGAGATAAAATGGCAAAGTTACCGGGAATGGATTACCAATAAAAGTGGTATTCTTACCTGAAAAGAACTGTAAAAATACCGGTTTTTAGGTAATCTTACCAGTCTGTCTTGGTAAAATTACCAATAATTGGTGAAAAAAGTGAGATGGTAAAGGTACCAACGGACCTTGGTAAAAACGCCGAGAATTTTTTTTCAGGGCAAGGAGGGTGGCCGTTGACGTCATCGTCTCTGTCATGCGGGCGACACAGATTTCAAAGCCTTAAAGAGATCACTGGAAAAAGGGGAAAAACCGCATTGGATCTAGAGTCCAGACTCTTGAAAACATTCACGAGAAAGGGATTCAATCAGATTTAAGCTTCAATCAAAAGGAAATCCGCTCAAATTAAGAGGCTTGGTTCTTGATTTTAGCAAAAATCCGATTGAATCATGAGTATTTTTTCTTGTCGATGTTTTAAGAGTCTGGACTCTAGATCCCTGGTAAAAATTGGCGATAAGAGCTGCGTTTCAAAATACCATAGGAATTCTTATAGCCGGCTAAAGAAGGCTACAGAAAATCATATAGCTGCTTATAGAATGCGGAGAAAATCATACGGCCGGGCTATACGAAGCGATAAAAAATTATGCAGCCGGGCTATAGTTCCTATCGCCGGGCTTTACACTTTATCGCCTGGCTGTTGCTTTTTCGCCATCGATTATAAAAGGGTATAAGAAATTGTGTAGAAATTCGTGGGCTTTGGAAATCATTAAGTTTGATACGGAACCACCTTAATATTTACGAAACACACATTATATTTTCCTTTAATACATATTTTTTTTCATCAATTAAAATGAGAATAATCCATACTGGATGTGCAAACATTTCAAAATCTTGAGTTGAATAACGCTGACTCCGCGAGATTGAATATTAGAGCCTAACACAAAGCGGTGCGGCGACGCACTGGCGCCTACAAACCTAACAGGGATACTTCACGCATTGCGCAACGCGTGAAGTATCCCTGTTAGGTTTGTAGGCGCCAATGCGCAGTTCGCGCTGGCTGCCCGCCTACCACGGCGCTTGAAGCAACTATTTCACACCAGAGGTATTGCAGAGTATCATACGAAACTGAAGGCGCTCTAATATAATAGTAATTGCAGGCATCCATCAAAAGTACGGAGCTTTCCTCGCAAAATAAATCAAGATACTACGGCCCAAAAAGAGAGCAGTATTCCAAAAACTCACTAAGTCCTAGCATCCGTAATTAGTAACGTTTAGCATACACTTTATCGCCTGGCTGGCTATTGGAAATCTTAGCCGGCTGTAGGTCTTTGTATTTTGGAACACAGATTCTACTGCCAATTTTCACCAGAGATCCAATGTGTTTTTTTTTCCAGTGATGGCTACACATAGAGACAATATATTTTAGAGGCTTAGTATTAACAATCTAAACCGGGGCGATTATTGAAATTGATAGACAATGCTGTAGACAAAGAAGACAAAAAGGATATGGAGGGAAAATCGACGGAGAATTTTTCATTGAAAATATCTGATCGAAATTTCGTTGACGAACTGATTTAAATGTAGGCTATGACCTTCCGAAACTTTTTTTCCGACAAGTGGGTTAACATTAAATAAAGAATTAATATCAATAATTTGGTCTCTGAGTTACAACGATGCTAAAGGAGTCGAAAGTACGTACGGATATGTTGATAGAAAATTTGTGCACCAGACGGACATTTACCCATCACGCCGATTCTCGTGCGCGTTCGATACTCTTCCTTAGTACAACACAAACAATTCACACTCACGAAAACAGCCGTATGGGTGGTTCCATGCGCTCCGCCCGAAGGCTATGCAGTTGTGTATCTATGCAACTCCATGATTTTTCCCAGTAACGAGAGTGTTATGTTTCTCGTTAATTCTAACTTTTTCAAATTTTTGATGGGTTCCAGCGTATTCGATATCAAATTATGTTCACTTCCTTAAGATAATCCCCAAATTAAAAATTTAACAGATCCTGCGCTCTTCCTTAGCATGACTGCACAGAACAGCGATACACCAACAAGAGGAGAAATCGGAAGTAGAAAATCAGTGGCTGGATTTGTTTTCGCCAATCCATAAGAATTTAACACCAAAACATAAGTGTCCTTAACACGTGCATCACCTCACCAGCCGTCACTCAATTGCTCACCCACCTCTCGTTACCACCATCCTCAATCTTTTTCGTGGAAAAGTATTTGACTTTTTAACTTCCGTAGCTCCACGGAGTATGGAATTCGGTTGCAATCGGTGTAGCGAGTGGGCTTAATTTTGGTCATTAATCAGCCGAGAAGAATGGCTCACTCGCCGCGTAGACAACGCCCT